TTTCTTTGAGTTAATGTGTTTGTTAACGAACATTAAAAGGTTGACAAAATCAACTTTTAGCAAAATACCTTTACAATGTATAGGCTTTCTCAGTTTGCTTAAAGTGTTTATATATATATATATATATATATATATATATAATGCATTCTAAATGTATTTTTGTGCATTAATAATGTCTTGTAATGCACCTTATAATACATTGTACAGTTTAATGAATAATTGTAACCACAGTTGTATTACATTATAATACTTATCTATTCACTGTTAGGCCTTTAGAAAATATAATGCATTGAAACACATGATAAACAACCAATTTTAGATGTATCTAGGATTTAGCTACATGTTATTTATGAAAAGATATAATGCATATTAACATAAGCCACTTTTCCACTTTCTGGCCAAACCGTTCTCATTACTTAACCGTTCAATTCAGTGCCGATCCAGATGTGGTTTAATTTTACAATACATATTGTTTTAAAGCAGCTTTACAGTGCTACATAAAAGTTTAGTGTTGATTTATTTCCATTTGTAAAGGTCATCAATTATTAAATAATTTCATTTTGTCAATAAAGATAAAAAAATTATGTAATTCAGCTCAGTTCTCATACATGGCGTTAGTACAGTCAGATCAATAATTTTGTTGAATACAAATTCTTGTATTGAATACAAGTTAATACAAATTCTCCTCTGCTGCACACTCAAAAGTATGTATGTGTTCTTCACAAAAACAGTGCATAATATTAGGGAATATTATAAGTAGGTGAATTGGAATGCCGCATCTGACTCGCTGTGCAATGCTAGTCTCTGGCTCTGTTTGTTCAGGTGAGGTGAGGCATCAGACTGGACAAGGACTGGTTCATGCGGTGGTGACGAGTGAAGGTGCGAGTGTAACATCAGCTGATGCCACAGCGTTCAGCATACTGCAGCATGTGCTCGGTGCAGGACCACGTGTGAAGAGAGGCTCCAACACTACAAGCAAACTGAGTCAGGCCATCTCAAAGGTCACAGCTCAGCCCTTTGACGTGAGTATCACTTTGAGACCTGTAGCTCAAAAAAGGCTTTTATGAAGGACTCTGTAACTGTGTCTGTCTGGTTTTGTTGCAGGCCTCTGCCTTCAATGCCAACTACACTGACTCTGGTCTGTTTGGAGTGTACACCATCTGCCAGGCTAACACTGCCAAAGACGTACGTGTGATTTACATTACGTTCTGGTTTTAACATTAACTTAAGGCCCTGGGTTTGTTTCCAAAAAAGATCACATTAAATTATGATTGAAGAAGTCATAATTAAGATATTATTCAAGAAGCAAGAAATTAATATCTTGATTTTGGGAACAACATTGCCAGTTACTGTTTTTGGAAATAGTTCCATCTATCTTTATATCTATCTGTCTATCTAGAAACTTTATTAAAATAGCCAGTGATTAATGTACATGCAACATTTTGTTTGTAATAACAAATTAGGCTGGATTTCACAACAAAAGTAAGTGGTGTTACCCATGAGAGTAAGAGTTTTCTATTTAAAGTGGGGTTTTTCTTCTGTTCAGGTCATTAAAGCAGCGGTCGGTCAAGTGTATGACATTGCACAAGGAAACCTTGCAGCGGCTGACCTCAGTAGAGCTAAGTAAGTTTTCATCATCTTGATGGCTTGAGAATTAGTGCAGTAATTTTTATATTGTACACATTACATATTTGTTTGTTTTCCTGTGATTTATTAATGTATTTCGTCTGAGCAGGAATCAGTTGACGGCCGAGTACCTGATGTCTATTGAGAGTTCGGAGGGCTTAATGGAAGCGATGGGATCACAGGCACTGGCAGAGGGTACCTACCATCCCCCTGAGGCTGTGACCCAGAAAATTGATGCTGTGTCTTCGGCTGACGTTGTCAATGTAAGCAACTAGGGTGACGGTATCCCAGTGCAAAGGATCTAGTATGGGAACAGAAGAATATCATATTTCAATCCTCGGTGAAGACAACCTTTTACCACTTTACTCCAGGTTGCCCCTGGGAAACCACCGATTAGTGTACTGTACATAATGTTAAAAAAAAAATTGGTCAAATATAATTCCAATATCTCCATTGGTTTTATTTATAATTCCAATATCTCCATTGGTTTTATTTATAATTCCAATATCTCCATTGGTTTTATTTATAATTGACTTTTCTATAAAGACCCTGGTATACTTCGTTTTCCGTGTTCCGCTGTGTCTCGCGTCGTGTCGACAGTTTTCAGAGTATACTCAAGCGCAGATATTTGCATCGATGGATAAGTGACACATGCACAGCTTTTTGTCATTTACAGGGCTAATGAAAGTAGCAGATCTGTCACTGCATACAAAGTTTGCAAGAACCAAAACAAAAACCAAGGATAGGGATAGGCAGCTTTATTTACTGCTTTGTATCTGTCTTTCCACACTCTTTTTTGACTAATGCACAGAAATCACAACTGTGCATATTGCCACCTAGTGGACTCTTCTGCATGGACACAAAAACTGTGTCCTGATGACAAAAATACATCAAACGGACAGTGCGCAGACTGTCGGAGAACATGGATGTGCCAAGTATACTTTGGACTTTTTGAAGGCTATTTAAAAAATATATTCTGAAAATAGTAATAATAAATAAGTGGGTTAGTGTATATTGCTAATGTAGTGTATTTAAGGCATTTTTAAATACATGTATTTTTTTCATAAGGCTTTTATCATTTGGATTATAATTTTGCATAACAAAATTGGTCTCATTTGTTTTTCAGGTTGCAAAGAAATTCATGTCTGGCAAAAAGACTATGGCCTCCAGTGGAAACTTGGTCAACACACCTTTTGTTGATGAAATCTGATGGACAATCAGTATTCTCGTACATTTTATCTTTCAACAGTGTCTAAATCTTAATTTCACTAAAATAGAAAATGTCCTTGATATCTTTATTGTTCCTGTAAAAAAAAAAAGTTATCAACAGTTGGTCTTGATACTTATAAGTAAGAACTCACTTGTCCATTTGAAATGTATAGAAGTAAATTAATAAAGTATATGCCGACACCAACAAATATTTATGAAACAAGATTTTGATCCTTAAACCTTGAGATCTGAATATAAAAGAATAATGGTAATAGACAAGAGGAAAGAGGAATATTACTGGGTTTTGGCAATAAACTGGGTTCAAACCCATATGAAACCTTTGAAATGTCAGTGTTTGTTTTTAGATTTTGATAAATTGTAAGTGCAGTCTCTGTAAAATTATGTAAAAAATCATACATTACGCAATACTCATGAATGACTGAATATCAAATGTAGCTTTAGTTCTGGCAGGTCAAGCTCGCATCAGCTGAATCTCAGCTAATCTACGTTTACCCATAGCAATACAATGCCTATCTCATATATAAGCTCCTTCAGTATTATCAACATCTATCACGTTTCTCGGGAGCGAATTACCCTCCTCCATCCCCAGCTCCTCTCGCCCAGTCAGCATTTGGCATTCTGATTCCCCTTCAATCAGAATAAATTCTCAAATTATGTTGTACATTAAAATATTGACATTAATGACATCTGCAATACATTCATGTTGGTTCCGTTCTGTTACCCTAAGGGGGGTTATTGCTGCTCTCCCTGCTCTTATCTATGCTAGGCTGGATCGTATTTGACGATAGTGATCATGACAGAAATATTGTGATTCACTGGTCAAAAGCCTGAGGAACACACTTAGGAAAAGTTGCTTTCAGTGAAGAGAAATATTCATTCATAATCCACAGACAAACTTTAAGTGGTTAAATTAAGCAAAGGTAAACAAAAGCCCCTATTTAACAATGTATTTAATAACATTTTCTAAATAAATTAAATGTTTCTCCTTCAAAAAAAAAGATAAAATAATAAAATATGTTATTTAATAGCCTTGTTGCATATTTTACACTTATACAAACATTAGTTTACACACATTAAAATGGATACAAAAAAACCCTCTTAATTTCATCAGCCATTAAAGCAGATATTATTTCCGCCCGGTTATAATTGAATTTCCAGAATAGTACAGTTATTGTTTTCTCCTTATAATATTTCAGGTCAGTCCAAAGCATCTTTGCATACATATATATATACATGCATGTGTGTCAGTAGCTTTTAAAAATGTTGGAAACATACTTTTTTAAATGTTTTTGAAAAAATGTCTAATGCTCATTTATTTGATCAAAGATACAGGAAAAAAACAGTAATATTGTGAAATATTATTACAATTTGAAATTGTGATTTTCTATTTTAATATGGGTTAAAATATAATTTATTTCTGTGATGTAAAGCTGAATTTTCGTCAGCCATTATTTCAGTCTTCAGTGACACATGATCATTCAGAAATCATTCTAATATGCCGATTTATTATCAATGTTGGACACAGTTGTGCTGCTTAATATATTTTGTAACCTGATAGTTTTTAAGGATTCATTGATGAATAAAAAGTTGAAAAGAACAGCATTTATTCCTAATAGAAATCTATTTGAACAATATAAATCTTTACTATCAATTTTTAATACATCCTTGCTGAATAAAGTATTCACTTCTTTAAAAAACTTTGAACAGTAGTGTATTGTTACAAAATATTTCTATTTTAAATGTGTATAAGATATATCCTCTCACTTTCGACTACTTTTTTTAATCGAGACAAATTTCGCAGATATTAGACGAACAAAAATGGAATAATGACTCCCTGAACAGAACAAGAGTCAATATGAAAAATCACATATTAAACATCCAACAAATCACATTTTCCCACCTTAGGCATTAAAGACCTTTTATTATTTTAAGTTTTTTTTCTTCCAGATTTAAACACCTTTTTTTCTCAACCCTGTTAACAAACAAAATGGAATTGGTTTTAAAAGAATTTTACACAAAACAACTTCTAACTACTGCTCACGTGTCCCTCATTACCATTTGACAATAGCATATGTGTGTGTGTAGTCTCATTATTTTTTGTTAAAAAAAAAAAAAAAAGTCTTCAATTTAGATGTTTACTTAAAATCACAATTTGTTGTGCTTAACTATACAGTGCTATTACTGTATTCTACATAATAAGTAGGCCTACTGAGTCCTATTAATAACGTGTATACTCTAGGGTTAGTGTTTAGTTTAGGTCAGGTCAGTTGCATGCAAGTATGCAGTGATATAAATTCAAGCAAATATAAGATAACTTCTATTTTGTTTATTGGCATTTCTAACGAGAGCGCAACTGTCAAAATCAGACTGGTGACGTCATGTGTTGCGTCATGTTCTCCTGCCCCCTCCGTTATTCCTTACAAAGGGAAAACATCTCGCGAGTAGGGTTTTGTTATGAAAGCTTCGCGGACGCTGTTTTACGGTATATTAGTTTAAGCCGAAACGCGGACAATAAGAGAAGGAAAACTGCAGTTATCGGCAAAGCACGACATATTTGCCAGCGTATCCGATAGTGATGCGTGAACAGACTCGTGCGCTGTGGAATCTTTTCCAATGATATCCATAAATCAAGAGGGAAGATCCAGCACGGACGTAACATCGGAATACTTCTGATTTTCCTCACAGCGATGCTCAAGTATTTGATGTTGTTAATGATCAGCTCTGGAGTAACGTTACTTGAGGAGTAACACTTCATAATGGGATGATGTACTGTGTGTTGATACTGCTGTTTGCATCATAATCCCTCAACTGACAATCAGATGCTATCTTACTGTGATGAACTCAGATCATCTCCATGAGGTTCCAACTGGAAAGAGAGAGTGAAAGTTGTCTCATACAATCCCAAACATTTAACAGACCTCAACTCATGAAGTTCACAATCTGAACTATGAAAATGGATAAACTCACCATTATTTCAGGATGTCTCTTTCTCGCAGCAGATATCTTTGCTATTGCAAGTATTGCAAATCCAGATTGGATCAATACAGGCGGCCAAGAGGGTAAGAAACTTAATGTTCAGTCAAATACTATGGTAACTCACTAACTCTTTAGGTAGAGCACACGTGTATCTGCATGTGCAATGTTTTTATACTTGAGCATGAAGAGCATTGTGTTTGTCTGCAACACAGATCCATTTAATCCAAATAAAACAATTAATCTGGCTCTAATGCATTTATTTATGCATTAAAAGAGCACATTTTCCCTGCTGTAGTTGTTGGGACACATTACAGGTCACAAAAATGGCTCTATAATTTTCCTTTCTCTATACACAAACATTTATGGGTAGAACAAATAAATATATAAAGCATCTGGCATTAGCTGTTAAAAGCCAGTGATTAAATGTTTTGCATTAGCGAGATGTGCAGAAGAACGCTTTTAAGGGAAATGTGTTGTTGATTATTCAGTGTGTTTGTTGCTGTATTAATGAAATCTGCTGGGAATTGTCTTCCACAGAGATGAGATTTTCAACACAGCAATTATTTAGTTGGAAAATTGTTCTGTTATGCAAACGTGGTAATAATATTAAGAGAATGTTGTTGCTGCAAATGATCTCACAATGGATCCTAACATTTTCCACTCCACTTTAACTCTCAAAGAAGACAAAAATATGAATTCAACTTTCTGACTTTTAACACATTATGGTTCTGCAGAGTTTAGTTTTGTTGAAGAAGAGGTTTATTTATTTATTTGTAATTTCACAAATTATTTTGAAGATACTCTCCCAGACGAATATGTCACAAAACAGATGTTCACCAGCCGTTTCTGTTTTTTTTGTTTTTTTTTTGTCCCATAGAGACGTAGCAGAGAACAAAAAGTACAATGCTCACTGAAGGCTGAAAACATTCACTGCACAAACTTATAGGATGATCTATCTATCTGTCTGTCTGTCTGTCTATAATATTTTTGTATAAGGATGCTGAACTGTAGTGTACACACTTTATGTTGCAATGCGGACATAAGGTATTTTCTGTGCTAGACTTCATTAGCTGCTATAGGTAAATAACTAAGACTAGCAAAGTGACATCAATACATTAAAATAATATGGTAAGAAATACCAATTTGCAAAATCAAGCAGCATAATTGTACAGCTAAAAATAACTGGCAGCGGATGACACCGGAAGCGGGACACATTCAATTTACAAAAGGCTGCTCTTGCTCTCAGATTAAAAAAAGATGGATAATTTACCATTCTCCCACGCACCCTATGTCAAATGTAGCTGTGCCACGTTCATCTCTGTCGTATCACTACCGCTCTTTTTTGTTCTCCCTTAATAAAACAATGCATAACAGTATTTCATGTCCAAAAAATTGTTACTGGTAAGTACTGTAGTTTGTGTTAAACTTTGGATATATACATGTGTATACAGTACATTTACATTTTAATGATATAGCAAATGAAACACAACATTTACTCAAATATATATAAATATAATATAAATATATTTCAAAGACTTGTGCACTAGACTAGGCTACATTAAAGGTGTTATATGTATTTTTTAGCGGCCTCTATCGGTACTGTTTCAGATTGCAACCAATTTTTACAAGAGCGTTCGTGTTCTTGCGCGTGCTCGAACACGAGCGAGCTCTAATGGTGCACGGCCAAAGCATCACACAACATGCTTGAAACTCATGTGAACTCCCACTGCAACGTTACAATAATAGGCTACATTTATCAGCTTGACGTTGAACTATTTCTCCATACTCGTACCATGATAACGTTACATTTGAGGTGTTACCTAGCATTAGGCATTTCACTAACTATTCGTGTATCTTTCACCATCAGCAATGTCAACATAGCAGACTGATCTCATGGAATTGCGTGTGAATGTGACGCCAATTCTTATTTCCATTTTTGGCGTGCTATCAACACGCTTAATCGCTTTTCAGCGGGCTTATGAATGCCGTTGACTTAACGTACTGTATTACTGGATATATAAATATATGACCTACCCCAACCCCGTCCCCTAAACCTACCCGTCACTGGGGTTAATACCATTTATGAGTCTTCCCCACCATCAAAAATATCGCTCCCCAGATGTAGAACTATATTTTGCTTTGTTTTGCTCGGACATTTAACGCTGTTACATACAAGCGAAATCACTCGGACATTAATGGCGTAGACATATGCGGATAGCTCATAATGCTTATAGATAACACGCCACTTGACTTGAAAGTGGCTTGTATGTTTACGCAAAAGTCATCATGTCATGTTGAACATAGATGAATGTATAATATGATAACGAAAACGGTTAGTGACCTAAACGGAACAATTTCAGTGTGTTGGAGTGTGTGTTGTGCTGGAGGCAGGAGTTTTTTGGTGTTATCAGACTCATGTCGTTCGCTGCAGTCTCGTCGCATAGACTTTTTATAAAAAGGAGAGAGGCTCGGGAGCACGCATGCACGTCACATCCGATGGATTTCGCAGAAAATCCGACCCGGAGACTTAACATAGAAATAGGAATACTGGCCTTCAGAGGTAACAGCAAAACCCGACAAGTGGATCATTGTAATGTGTGATTACAACCCTTCCCATGCAATAAAAAAAGGATTCGTTTTAGAAGAAAAGTTACATATAGCACCTTTAACAAAGCTGATGGTAGATTTTGAGAAAAGGGGGTAAACAACTGTTTTTATGGCATCACTCTAAAGATGTGTAGGGAAACAGGATATCCTGTGCAATGACTTTAAATACAACTTTCCCACGGTAAAGCTGGATATATGGCAGTTTTACGACCAATTACTCATGTTTTGTTGGTGTTTGTTGGAGTTGGTGTCCAGCAGACCTCCAAATTAGATTTTTACATTGGTCTTTTATCTTGATCATACAGCTTAACTCCAGCCTACTGCTTCATATTTGATACACACAGTTATCGAAGTTATCAAAACAAAACAAAAATATAATTTATCAAATAAATGTGAGTATCAAATACGAGACGTTAGGATTTTGAGGAATGTTCATTTCTAGATCTCTCAATTAGAATTGCACTGCATTATTTGTTTTCGACCCATATCATCTTACTTATTTCATCTTACGTTTGGTAATTTAAATATCAGTAACTGCAGTTACAGGCTAGTTTTTCAAAAGATTTTCTAATGTCCTGAGTCACAAAGCTTTCAAAAACAGTTTGATTTAATATTTAATTTAATCAGTTGTTAGTGTATTTGTAGAAACAGATTGAATACTAATTCACTCTCTTTCCTCAGCTCAATTTACTGTAAATGACATAATTTAGTGTGGAATTCTGAATATTATAAGAGACTCATATATAACTAGTTCTTGTCTTTGTCCATGTTACAGGACATCCGCATATCATATTGACATGATATCATCATTATGTTCTTTTGTAAAGTTCTTTAAGGAACATGACATTATTTACTCACCCACCTTATGTCATTCCTGTATGCTGTTTTATCTTCTTGTGTTATGTGCTGTTAAACAAAGACTTCTTTTACTCTTTAAAGTCATGACATTTTCATGTGTTTTGCATGTAGGAGCTCTTACTGTGGGTCTAGTCAAGCAATGCCAGACCATCCATGGTAGAAACAGGATATGTATCTCCCCGAGCCTTCCTCCAGAATGGGTCATTACCCTGTTCTTCATTATCTTGGGCATCGTCTCGCTCTCTATCACATGTGGCCTGCTTGTGATCTCACACTGGCGGCGAGAGGCAACAAAGTATGCCCGCTGGATTGCTTTCATGGCAAGTAAGTTACCTAATGGGAAAATTGATGTGCACAAATAATACAAGTTTGTTGTTTGGTTTTGATAACCTTATGTTATTATAATTATTATTATTTTGCTTTTCATAGTGATCCTCTTCTGCATGGCTGCCCTCATATTTCCAGTTGGATTTTACATCAATCAAGTCGGAGGACAACCTTACAAATTACCCAATAATACTGTTGTTGGGTCCTCATATGTACTTTTTGTTTTATCAATATTTTTCACAATAGTTGGACTTCTTTTTGCGGGTAAAGTCTGTCTGCCTGGCTGACAATCCCTCTGGTTTTAAGATTTTTTTTATGCTAAATTTTTTAACTACTTGACTTTTTCAATGCCAGTGTGGTACAAATAGCCAGAGGCGGACAGAGTGCACAGCTTCATAGCTTGAGTAAAAGTACAGATACCACTTGCTAAATTTTACTCGAGTACAAGTAAAAGTACTACAGTTAGATGTCTACTTAAGTAATTTGTTTTTAAAAGTACTTTAGTATCAAGAGTACAAGAGTACATTTCCTAAATATTGCATTACTACTGCCACAGTGCTTACTTACATTTATGTACAGAAACGTCCTACATGGAGTTGACATGGATGAAAAATGTTTATGTTAATACCTTGGAGAATGTAAAAGGAATTGAAAGTAAAATCAAGTCAATTTAATAATTTTAGTGACTCGCATATTTCAATATAAATAACTTGATGTGTTTTCTGAAGATGAATGAAAGTCTTGCATTTTCAATTCAAATGCGAGTTCTGTCTCTCTATAGACTGCTATGCAACTATCACTTTGACGCCTCAAAAATGTCATAAAGAGAATCGAACACTTAAGTCCAAATTTTCAGAAGAGACTCAATGACTTTATATGATGAACAGATAGAATTTAGGCTTTTATTCACATATAAACATTGATCACCGAACATAAACAAAATTTTTACCATGTTGCTTTATTTAACATTAAAGAAAATTTCTGAAAATTGAAATAGTCTGGTGAGGTGGGGCCACCAGCTGTGTCTTCATCCGTTGTTTCGTCCATGGTTTCGGATTTCTTATCTAAATCTGACCATAGAGTTGACTTTGACGGAAAGCTGAAGGTGATTGCTGAGAGGCTGTCCCAATTAGTGGCGCCTGCACAATCCACAACCCAATCACGTTTGAGAGAGAAACAACAAATTGAGGGTTTCCGAGTTTTCTTTTATCCTTTTTTTTTTAGAAGTAGTAACAGGTACTCAAAGTTATGGATAGAAATGTAGCGGAGTAAAGAGTACAATATTTGCCTCTCAAATGTACTTGAGTAAAGTCATGAGTACTCCCCCAAAAATTATTCTCGACTCTCGAGTAAAGCACAGATCCCTCAAAATTGTACTTAAAGCTACACTGTGTGATTTTTACCCCTCAGATCACTTGGATGTGGCTATGGTTACAAGAGGTAAAAACTATATAAATACTGTTAGTTTTCTCACACAAACCGCTCGTTTTGTGTCTTAGGCCATCAATGCGTACTTACATTTACGAGTCATTTGAGGTGGTGACCATAGACCTGCATTATATGACTGACAGACAAGAACGGTTTGACCTAAAAATATAAAAAATGACACTACTGCGGAAACAGACACCTACTCTTGGATGCCTTTGAGGTTAGCTAAAACATATCAAAAATTAATTTCAAAGTGAACGATCCCTTTAATTATAGCCTATTCTTCTTATAAAGTATTATTTCCGTAGTAGGTCTTCTATTTTTTTTTTTAAAGTATGCTAGGGTGTATTTCTTTTCCCAAACGGTTTAGTATAATTGAGAGAAAACTTACGAAGCTGTAAGAAATCCTTCAAAGTATCCGGCCAAGAAGTATGTCATTTCATCGTTCTCTTGGGATTCTCCATAACCAGCCTGCACTTCCAGCACTCCCCATCCAGAAACAGATAAACTATCATTGAAATAGCCAAATGCATCTCCGTCCTCTTCCATTACACCCTCTTTCAGCACCACAGACCTTTGAACAGCATCCCAATATACGGTGGCTCTCTGAACATCTGGTAAACAGAGAGATCACACATCAATAAGCGTTGAGGGTTTAATCGCTAGATGTTTGATTTTTTTTTTTTTTTTTTTTTTTTGGTATTATCTTATTGCAGCTCGCTTAATAACTGAATGCTCAATAGACTAACGGACAAGGGTTTGTTGTAGCTCCGATCGATCCACCTTATTTAACTTAGTTTTTTTTCATGCTAGACTTATGATGTTATGCAAACATGCAGAAATTAATAATAAAATAACCATCAGTATGACCAAAATGTGACATTAAAAGAGTACAATTAATTTAAGACACTTACGCTGATCTTTTACAAAGGTCACCGTTAGGACGCACAAAATAAATCCCTGTGTAACGTTAAATCGACTCATGTTTCACACTGAATCAAGTTTTCAGTATCACGACAGCTAATGATCGAAGAACTTGCGAATTTCCATGCGATGAATGCTGGTTCGCATGGTTTTCTTATGTGTATAGACCTACATTGAACTGTTTATCACCTGTTGTTTCGCTAAGGAAAAAATGTCCACCCCAGATGGGACTCGAACCCACAATCCCTGGCTTAGGAGGCCAGTGCCTTATCCATTAGGCCACTGGGGCTTTCGTCATATTATGCTAAATGCCGATTTAGAAAGATGATGCAATAGAAATGTATGTTACGTATTTAAATGATCATAAATATTAATTATATATTTACTTTGATATATCGCATCTAAAAAGTCTCTGATGCGTATAATTAATACATAATTATTACTCGCTATTCAGAACGTTACACATTTACGTATTAATCGGTGTTTGTGTTAAATTCCCTAGTTTAGACATTTGTAAAAAAAAAAAAAAATACATATATATATATATAATATGTATTTATATATAGATATATACATATCATATAAATAATGGTGTATTCAGTACGTGCAATAATAACAGTCACAAAGTTATAACACGACAGTTGGAGCTTTTATTATGTACGTGACGCCACCGGCACTTTCAAAGAACTGCCGCCTCCATGTGCCTCCTGTTGTGATGGTTCTGTATTTCTCTTATCAGGCTAGTTATCTGCTCTCCCCCGTTAATAACTGAGCCCAGGTATACGATAAACATTCTTAAGTATACCAATTCTGTACGATTTTATTTTTAGATTTAACTTAGGTTGCTGCGCTTTAATGGCTAGTTTGAGGTAATGTATGTATGGGATTAAAGCTAAGTGGCTAATTCGTTGAGCTAGCATGAGCGTGTGTTTCAGCCAGTGTACATAATATTAGCACGTGTGGGACAAAGTGAGCTCAGCATCATCTGTTTGGGATTTATCGAGATGTAAAGTGCAACAGCCCATTGTAAAATTACCGTTTTCATCGTCGGTATTCTAATTATATGTAAGTGACAGTCTAGCATATTGAGCAAATGTAACATTCCTGTTAATGAGTTAAAAAGTGTGGATGTAATTATGTATGCATTAATACACATGCTTGCGAGATCTACTTAGCAGTTGTATGAAGTGTAACGTTAGTGTATGTTGGTGCTATTTTTTGTGATACCTGTTCATGCTTTAATAACTTTAATACTACATAAAACAAAGGGAACGCAATGGCCTCTGAAGATATTGCTCAGATTACGAAGGCTCTGGCCAAGACTCATGTTGGAGAAGTGGAATTAAGTTATAAGGGACGAGGGCTGAAGTTGGACAATGCTGAGTCGGGTGAGTAAACCTCTCTTTTAGCAAATGTATACATCACCATGTTTTCTCATCACATCAACACTCATAATTTTCCCTCCTTTTCTGTGATGTTGCAGTGAAAGAGATGGTGAAGGAGATTGAACAGTGTCAGGGTTTGCAGTCCCTCAGATTAGAGGGAAACACACTGGGGGTTGAGGCAGCACAGGCCATTTCCAAGGCTCTTGAAACTAAAAATGAATTGGAGGTACTTTTAAATTGCCATTAGACAATTTCAATCTGATGTGCTAATTGCTGTATTTAATCTTGATTATTTTTTTAAAGCAATGTCATTGGAGTGACATGTTCACGGGTCGCCTTCGCTCTGAAATTCCACCTGCTCTGGTAAGAAGATATTCATCCAAAAAAGTTCAGTTTTACGTAATTGCTATGAGTAAATATCTTCTTTCCAACATTTTATTCAAATCCTCTAGAAATCCTTGGGCAATGCTTTGATAACATCTGGGGCCAGACTGACTCAGCTGGACTTGAGCGACAATGCCTTCGGCCCTGATGGTGTAAAGGGAATTGAAAGCCTCCTGAAGAGCCCTGTGTGCTACACTTTACGTGAGCTCAGGCTTAATAATTGTGGCATGGGCATTGGAGGGGGGATGGTAAGTTTAGGCTGAGATTAACTCAGAAATGCTGTGATATACTTTTTTAAAGACAAACTCGTCATCCTTTGCTTATGTTAGTGAGATGTTTTTAACATGTCAAGTCTTTTTTTAAACTCATGGAAAAGAGGGAGTATGTGATTGTAATTATTGATGTATTTTCTTAAAGGTCCTGGCTTCTGCATTGACTGAATGCTACAAGCAATCTAGTGCAGCTGGCTCCCCCCTGAAGTTAAAAGTCTTCATTGCTGGACGTAATCGTCTGGAGAATAACGGTGCCACTGCACTTGCCAAAGCATTTAAGGTGATGAGACAATGTTTATTTTATAAAACATTAACATCCATGGAAGAGCTGCAGTTGCTAAACTTTTAATCACAAAAAAATGGTGTCATTACCCTGTGTCATAAAATGAAAGTGTTTTATGATATTTCCTTTGTTCTACATTTGTTCTGTTTTTTACAGGTGTTAGGCAGTCTTGAGGAGGTCCATATGCCACAGAACGGAATCAACCATCCTGGTATCACGGCTTTAGCCGCTGCCATGAAGCACAACCCAGACCTCCAGGTCCTCAACCTCAATGACAACACTTTTACTAAGAGAGGATCGATAGCCATGGCAGAGGTATGTTGTGCAATATGTCTCTGCATCATGTAAAAAATGTATATATGGCTAGAACAGGTGTTAAATATTGGCTGTTTGGGATTTCTTCCATTTTCAGAGCATTAGGTACCTCCGTTTTCTTAAGGTCATCAATTTTGGGGACTGTCTGGTACGCTCAGAAGGTGCTATTGCTATAGCAGGGGCCCTTAGAGATGGACTGCCATTCCTCAGGGTTAGTTAATGCATAATACCAACGTTAAATCTTCATAAAATGCACACAAACACTTCCTTTCAATGATCTTAGTGTTTTTTGTAATAGGCATTCTAACAAAATCTCTTGTGTAGGAGCTAAATTTGTCATTTGGAGAGATTTGCGAAGCTGCCGCTTTGGTAGTTGCAAAGGCTGTTCAGGGTAAAGCTGATCTGGAGAAACTGGACCTTAATGGTAAAGTATTTTTTTCTGTCACAGTATTTTATTACTACAAACATATATTGTACATCAACATATATTACCACTAACATATATTATACATCATATTTACATTACTTAATGATTTGATTTTAAATTATTAAAATCATTTGAGACAAACTGTTTTTTTTTTCACCCTCACTTTAACCCCTTACAATTGAATTGTTCACAATTTGATTGAGAGTTTTCTTATTAAACGGTCTGTACACTTACAATGTTCTCAATGCTTCGTTTTGCATGTTGGGACCCTCATTATGGTACTGTGTTAGTGAGGGGCTATTTTGAGCCTTGTTAGTGGTATTAACTAGCGATTTCTGTTTACTTAATAAATGCCCTCATATACTAGCATTATACGCTAAACAGTTTTAGGCATAAAACTCTTTACATTCGATTATCATGAAAACAAATCTCAGAGAACGGTCGACAAGGTACCAATGTTTTATTAGACCAAAGGTTCATTTTGCGCCAGAGTTCACCTTTAATAACAACCCGATGAATTCCATTTGGTGTCAAAGTCAATTATTCTGTGGTAATTTGATCTTGTCTGGGTGCTTGTTTAGGAAACTGCTTTGGAGAGGACGGCTGTGAGGCTCTCAGGGAAGCGATGGAGAGCATGAACATGGAAGAGCTGCTGGGCTCGCTCAGGTATACATCTGGGTCTTTGTGAAAAATGTAGCTTATTTGTCATGTGCAAATAATTTGAAGCCAAATGCATGTTTGCTATATTTTAAATATTTTCACACTGAGAGTAATAAAAGATGTGATTAATGCAGTGATGATGAAGGAGAGCCTGATGAAGATGATGGAGAGTCTGATGAAGATGATGATGAGAAGGAGGATGATGATGAGGGGGAGGAGAAGGAAAATGGTGTCAATGGAACAAAAGATATCATTGAAGAAAAGGTGATCCTAGCAAACATCTGCATCACCGAATGAACCGCTAAACCTGATGTGTGTCAATAGCTGCTTATATGTTTTACTTTGGCAAACCACCGATTTTTACTTGTCCACAGGAAGAGCCTCGCTGCAGTTCTGAGTTTACATCCTTCCTCATCTCCCCGTCGGCTGAGAAACTGATATCCTTTGGAGCCAAAAGGATCCAGCTCATTGAACAGGTACAGTGTTGAATTGTAAGGCCTAACTGTACATCAGCAGGACAGTTTAACTTGTTCTCCAGCCGCCTGAAATCATTTTCTCTTTTTTCTTAGGTTGATGTTTCAGATGCTAGTAAGGTGTCAGAAGTTTTTCTCAAGACCTCCTCTGTATATGAAGATAAACCGGAAGTAAAGCAAGCTGTTTTTGAGACCACTGGTATGAGCAAAGTGCTTACTACCATCGATTCAATTAAACATTTAATAGGAGACAGCCATCTACTTGTCCTCATGTCATTCCGTATATTTTTCTTTTGTGGTGCTTAAAACAAGATATTTTGAAGATTGTTGTTAACTAAACCATTTTAGTGACCATCAACTTCAATTGTATGGACCAAAAATATCTCAAAATATCTCTTATTCAATTCAATTCTAATGTATTTGTATAGCGCTTTTCACAGTACATATTGTTTCAAAGCATCTTTACATAAAGTGCATTTCAGAAATGTACATAGAAAAAATAAAGTTAGTTAGTCATGTATTCATTTTCGGGCATATTTCATACAGTTTTGGAAAAACATGAGGTTGAGCTCTTGTTACTGAAAATGTTGAATGCTATTGTTTTTAAAACCAGCTGTTCATCTTGTTGCGTAGATGCCCTGTTAAGGAAAGCCTTTTCCAACTCCCACTCTCAGTCTTCTAGTTTGATCTTTTCGCTGATAGTGAAACTGGGACTTTTAAAGGTACTACACGCTCTGACGTGATGTTCAGTTCAGTTTTTCATGCATTTCTCCCTATTTTGTCGGTGGTGTGAATTGCTGCTGATTTCTTTTCCAGAGTGAAGATAAAAAGATAAAGAAGGTGTCTGTACTGCCTGGACACTTGCTCGCTTTGGAGCATGCAGCTGCACAGGAGTTTTTCCCAGTGGATCAGGCTGTCATTCTGGAAGCATTTGTGTCACGGTTAGTTTTGTGTTCAACGTATGATGTATGTCTAGTCTTGTTGCACTTTTCTGACCAACTGTACTGTAATAATAATTATACTTTAAGCTTTTGTATTTTTGTTTTCCAGAAATGGCAAAGTCTTAGAATCCTGCTCCAGTGCCAGAGATGCTCTCAAAACCACATTGGTGAAAAGGACCACTGCTTAAATCTTAAACCCCAATGCAGAGCCAGTGAAATTACTCAATACGGGTCAAATAATAATAATAAAAAAGAAGTTGAATAGGATGTATGAAACTCTCTAAACTAATGATTTAGTTTATCTTTGATCAATTTTGGCATGGAAATCTCAGACAACTGCAAAGTACAGTGATAACTAGTGCCTCATGATGACTAACCAAAACTGAATTTCCTTACAGAAGAACTGTAGACAGTTGGAGTAGCTTTGAAGAGTGGTGTGTTCTTTTGTCTCTTTTTAGAAATACTGTCTATTTTTATACATAAAAGGGAAAATATGGGGAAAAAAAGGCACTGGATGATTATTAGGGCTTCATTATTGCTTAAACCTTAAATGATTATAATGTTATAACTGTGAAATTTCTGAACAATGATTTTAAAGCATGTTCACTCTCTCATGCCTTGGATTATATGTGCCATATTGTGAAATATTGGTGGCGGAATTTGTTTAAAACCAAATTCAAGTATAAACACTGAAGGGTCTTTGGATTGAAGTGAAGTAAAGGTGGTTGGACATTAGTGTATTTAATACTACAACTGGTATGCACTGAATATTATATTTGCAACATTCCAATTTGTTGTTATTAAACTTTTTTTCTTGAGAGGAAAATCGTGTCGTCTGTGTAATGTTCTAAATTTTCAAATTGAAACCCTTTATTCACCCAGTTACAGATCTTGTGATTATAAAGTCCTGTAGGTCAGCTCTCACTCCATTGCCCTTTAACGCAACGCCTGAGTAACGCAAATGCCCCAAGTTCACTGAGCCTTGAGGATTTCGGCAAACTTTTCTCAGTATCTTGGTTCTGAAAGGAATATGGGCGTTGAACTTGAATCCTTTGCAGGGAACCTTCTCTCCTCCAGCGGTTTATTTATGTGAGACTACGAACAGTGCGCGTCTTTGTGTGCAGCGGTCTGAAGTCTCTTGAGACTCATCGAGCATATTTCGCATTTGGAAATCAGCTTCTCGGCTGCTTCGTTCGCGCTGCCACTTTTCTCTCTAAAGAAACAACGTTTTAAAATGCTTTTCTCTGCATTTATTCAAGAATTTATTTTATAAAGAGACTATTGTTTATGACTGAGCCTTTACTGAGGCCTATCATAACGTTTCACTTGATGATATTAGCTAATGAATGAGGATTCATTCTTACCGACAAGGTGCCGAATTTTTGAAGACTTTTTATTGCTTTTTCAGAGTAAGTTGTTGAATGTTTTATTATTGAAACATATTATTGTACATTTAAAATTAGAATTGATTTCAATAAGCTGAGACTAACAGCAGAAACCTGGCTTTAAACAGTTTGTTCAAATGTTTTCAACACATTTCAAGTGTTAACACTAAGCTGAAACGGAACCATTAACGGAGAAGCAAAGAAATGTGATGCATAAATAGATTATTGTTTTGAATAACAATTCTGATTTATGAATTGATTTTAATCAAATTAATAGTTTTTTAAACAACTTAACAAACCTTGCCAAAATGTATAGTTCTACCTTTTAGTTAGTTCTGTATAGTCTTGTTTTACTGTATCCCAGTGGGTTTATATTGTATTCAATTGTTTACACTTATTGTTAAAAAAAAGACAAATTTTAGAAGGTTTTAAATTAAATGTTGCTGCTAGAAAACACAAATTTTTGTAGCCTACTTTTGACTCAAAATCTTAGACATGGCTATTATGAGAGAATCTGCTAAGATTTGACATGGGGAGTTTGCTCCTGCAGTGCTTATTTTGACATTCAGTTGTGAGGCATTGAAGGAGTTGCATTCAACCATAAATTATATGAATGCCTCCAATCCAACCAGTTATTTTGCAGCATTAGCAAACTAATCTGACAACGTTTAAATGAATCTGGCTGAGGTTTTTCTTACAAAGTAATCTGAAAACTCAAAAATGAATTCAATATTTTAGATGTTGCAAATCTCCTCTTGTTTTACACAGGAAGATGTGTAGCCTTCCCATGTTGCTGGTTATAATATTGTTTGCCCTGAAGATCCATACAGTGCATCCAGGCAAATGTCCCAAGTTCTGTATCTGTGACAACATCCAGCTCACAGTTGCTTGTGTCAACAAGAATCTCACTGAGGTTCCACCTACCATTGATGAGGTAATCTGTGCAACACCGTGATCACTAGGGCCTTATTTTTGATTCGTTTCTTTTAAATGACTTGCATTGTTTTAATGCTCTGTTCTTTATATCTCCAAGATAACAGTGAAACTGGACCTGAGAGGAAATGACCTGCAGGAGCTTCCTACAGGGGCGTTCACACACATACCTTACCTCACCCATCTGTCTCTGCAGAACAGCAACATCCAAAGAGTTCGGGAAGGAGCTTTCCGCAGACTTGGCCGGCTGGTCTTTCTTAACCTGGCCAACAACAAGATTGAGATCCTGTACCAGGTAAAATGGATTGGCCCTTGTAGCATTAACCTGCATGGACAACCTTTGCATGCATCTCATCATTTTCTCTCCTTATAATCCAGGAGTCATTTGATGGGCTTTCCTCACTGAAGCAGCTGATTATTGACCGAAATAGAGTGGAGGAGATCCAGCCTGGGGCTTTTTCACAGCTTGGCGTTCTCAACCTCCTCTCCCTCACACACAACCAATTGGTGTACATTCCTAACATGGCATTCCAGGGCTTGCAGAACATCAAATGGCTACGTCTCAGTCATAATTCCCTCAATTATTTGGCCACAGAGGCGTTTGCTGGGCTCTTCACTCTTACTCGTTTGAGCCTGGATAACAATGCACTGCAGTTCTTTCCCACTGAGACAATGACACGGTGAGCTTCAAGAAACATTCTGGGTTTAATAGTTATTGCATCATGTGTCATGAACTAACAATGAAGCGGGTCTTAAAATTAGGTAAATACAGCCTCAGATGAACAACACATGAATATATTACATTGTATCATTATTTATTTACAAAAAATAAAGCTAAAATGGAGATGTCATATGTGACTCCTAGAACCACCTTTTAACTCAAAGTAATCATTTTCAATATGATTGAAAATATTAAATCGACCTTGTTGAATTTATGCCATGTAGAACCTCGTTTGAGCCCCTTTTGCCTTCAGAACTGCTCTAATTATTTGTATACACACACACACACACACACACACACACACACACACACACACATATATATATATAAAAGCTGAGCAGTATTTCTTGCCATCATTTTTCTCATTATTTTCTTTCTCTCCAGACTTCCAGAAGTAACTCGCTTAGAGCTAAGCTACAACCCCATGACCTACCTTGGAGAGGAGTCTGTATCTATGCCCAAGCTTACTCACCTCCTCCTGGATCACAACTCCCTGCAAGATTTTTCAAATGCAGCTATCCTGCTCTCTCCTCGTCTCGCTCATCTGGACCTAAGCCATAACCAGCTGCGCATCCTGCAGCCAATGGCCCCTGGCTCTCCCAAACTGACTCGCATCAATCTGGCAGGCAACCCCATCTACTGCAGCTGCTACATGCGGCCTCTGCGCGAGTGGGCGATACGGGAGCGCGTTCGCCTGGGTGGTACATGTGGAGGTCCTGCACATCTGTCCGATGAGAATCTGGAAGCGGTACAGCCAGTTGATTTGCGCTGTCAGAGCCAGGAGGCCATGTTGAGGGCTGAGCTGGAGGAGCAGAGTAGACTGCCTACACTGCCCACAACCCCACCCCCAGATAAAGTCAAATGCCCAGCCAACTGTCAATGTGAGGTGAGCGAAAACTTAATACTATAATACCATTGTCCTGATATCACAATGAAAAAGAAAAACTCATTAAAAGAATAAAACTAGGAAGGAATAAAGGAAGGAAACATCTACACTCACCTAAAGGATTATTAGGAACACCTGTTCAATTTCTCTTTAAAGCAATTATCTAATCAACCAATCACATGGTGATTGCTTTAATGCATTTAGGGGTGTGGCAATCTCCTGAACTCCAAACTGAATGTCAGAATGGGAAAGAAAGGTGATTTAAGCAATTTTGAGCATGTCATGGTTGTTGGTGCCATTTAGTATATAACTGAGTAGTATTTCACAATCTGCTCAGTTACTGGGATTTTCAAGCCCCATTTCACGCAAAATGCCTTGCTAGAGGTGGGAGAGAATGGGCAGACTGACTCAAGCTGATAGAAGAGCAACTTTGACTAAAATAACCACTCGTTACAACCGAGGTATGGTTGCAAAACAGCAAAACATTGGTGAAGCCACAACACGCACAACCTTGAGGCGGATGAGCTACAACTGCAGAAGACCCCACCGGGTACCACTCATTTCCACTACAAATAGGAAAAAGAGGCTACAATTTGCAAGAGCTCACCAAAATTGGACAGTTGAAGACTGGAAAAATGTTGCCTGGTCTGATGAGTCTCGATTTCTGTTGAGACATTCAGATGGTAGAGAATTTGGCATAAACAGAATGAGAACATGGATCCATCATGCTTTGTTACCACTGTTCAGGCTGGTGGTGGTGTAATGGTGTGGGGGATGTTCTTTGGCACACTTTAGGCCCCTCAGTGCCAATTGAGCATCGTTTAAATGCCACGGCTAACCCAATCATTGTTTCTGACCATGTCCGTCCCTTTATAGTCACCATGTACTCTGATGGCTACTTCCAGCAGGATAATGCACCATGTCACAAAGCTTGAATCATTTCAAATTGGTTTCTTGAACACGACGA